TGCTCATTTCTTTAAATTTTTTTCTTTCAATTTCTTTCATTTTTTCTGAAAATATTTTTGTTTTTATAGCTGAATGCATACTCACAGAAATGAAGTGGCAAGTAGAATTTCCAATACTATTTTGTTAAAGAGAAATAAAAATATTCTGTTTGAAAAAATGTCAGAGGTTCTAAACATTATTTTTTGTTTAATGAAGGCTGAACCTTAATGACATGGAAACTAAAGGGGGCTTTACTTAGTGAAATTTAGCTGTTAACTTCACAATGAGTTTGAGTTTGGTTTTATTTGACTGAAATTTTAAGAAAATCACATAATTTCTTGTTCATCCTCACCTCTTAGTGTGTATAGTTCACAGTTTAATAAAAATAGGGCATGAAAGGGAATCAGATTTCAGAATGAAAAACCTTTTCTTTTGATTCATCTTTGTAATCAGACCAGCTGTGTATGTGTCCTTTCATCCCAATGTGTAAGAAATTTGATTGGTTTTCATAGGTATAAATTTGAAATTCTTCCATAACTGTGTGCAGATCTGATGTGACATGGCATATAAAGTGAAGCTTTACGGGAGTTGATTTGATTAGAATGCAGAAGAGGAGCCACTCTTTTGAAAGAACCTTGCCAAATCAATGCAGACCTCATCAGAGGGCCGTGGTTGAGTGGGATACATTTTCTGGAGCAACACAGGGCAGATGATGCCAGTTGTCTTAAGTTCTGTTTGTGAGGGTGGCAGCTGACTGTGAGAAATATTGGGGAAGCCCTGTTTCACCTCACCGGTGCCCCACTCTGATGGCTGGTAGTGAATGTCTTGGTGGCAATACGAGAGGGATCCAGTGGGACTTCTCCCATCCTTGGGTGGTGTGTGGTTAAAAATACTGCTAGCAGTGATGGAAACACCAGCACATAATGCAAGCTTTCCTTCAAGGGTTTAGACATAAATAAAAAATATTTTGGATGTGAGAATTTTCTTCTACGTTATTCTGGTTGCTGATGGAAACTTTGCTTGCTAGCCTAGATGTACAGTTAACAAACAACTGCCAAGTACTGGGCACTGCTGAGGCCACACCTGGAGTGCTGTGTCCAGCTCTGGGCCCCTCACTGTGAGAGACACTGAGGGGCTGGAGTGAGTCCAGGGAAGGGCAACAGAGCTGGGGAAGGGTCTGGGGCACGAGTCCTGTGAGGAGCAGCTGAGGGAGCTGGGGGTGTTCAGCCTGGAGAAAAGGAAGCTCAGGAGAGACCTCATTGCTGTCTACAGCTGCCTGAAAAGAGGCTGTAACAAGGTGGGGTTTGTCCCTTCTCCCAAGCAACAAGTGACAGGACTTGAGAGGAAACGGCCTCAAGTTGTACCAGGGGAGGTTGAGGTTGGACATTAGGAGGAATTTCTTCACGGAAAGGTTGTCAAGTAACTGAATCACCATCCCTGGAGGTATTTAAATGACTTACAGGTGTGACACTTAGGGACATGGTTTAGCAGTGGACTGGCAGTTGTTTGTTAACTGTACATCTCCAACCTAAGCACATCTGTGACTCTCCTCAGGAGAGCATTGAAAAGGCATTGGTGCCATATGTTGCCTTTGGTGCAATCCTGTTAGTGAACTTGACTTCCAGACAAACTGTCCTGATTTCCAGGCACTGTGAGCCATGTAATTTTTAGAAGTTTGTGGAGGGGAGCGTTGGTGTTAGAGGGATCTGGCTCCTGGGTTCATGCTTGGAATTGAGGAATGACAAAAACGCACAGAAGGAGACCTTAGTTGCAGCAACTGTTTTTAAAGTTCAAATATTCTAATCTGAAACCTCTTTAGATGCCTATGTGTTATAGTGTAGGTTCATAAAGTAGTCTGTCAGGTTATTCAGGCTGGTGAAATTTTGCTGAGCTACTTCCCAGGCACATAGACTATAAAATACTTTGAGTTTGTCTGATATATCAGAATAATGTCCGCAGGTAGAAACATACGAGCAGTTAATTGATTAATTAACCACACAGGGTTTATTGTGATAATCTATAGCTCAGATTATCTAGCAATATGTGTTTGCTTTCTGCAACTCCTGCTTCACCTGCATTCTTAAATTACCTTGTCTTGATGAGTATCTGACTGATGGATTCAGGGTGACTCTTTCCTTGCTGCTCACTGCTGGTAGAGGCAAAAAAAACAGACTTCCTTGTTTGGAAAGCTCAACATTTGTACTCAAATGTCTACTAGTGAACCTAAAAGTTAAAAAAAAAACCCCTCAAACATAGATCTTTGGTTTCTTTCTCGTTGTGGGTTAAAGCCAGAGGGCTCCCAGTTTCGCTTGCTGTGACAGCACATGGGCTGTTTGCTCCTGTTTTTTTAAAAAAGGGGTGTTGCTACTCTGTGTCAGCCAGGAGAAGCCCTGGTCACTCCTTGGCTCTCCTTTCCCCGAAATGAAAAGAAGCTCTGAAGTTTTGAAGGACAGAATGAGAGAGTGTGGTGAAGATGAGAAGGAGCAGGGTGCAGAGCTGGTGGGCATCATGTGCTGCATGGGTCAGTAATGCAGCCCCGAGCTGGGCTGGCAGGGCTGCCTGCGGGACAGGGCAGAGCTCTCTCTCAAGGGGCTTTCTGCGGGTATCCTTCCTTAGCTGCAGTTTATGTGGTCATTTACCTGTTTTCTGCTTCATCTGGGGAGTTTCATTTGGTGTGTTCTGCTCTGAGCTCGAGCGCACTGAACGCAGTGGCACTGTGTTTTCTCTTAGTGTGTATTTGCTTTTCTGGGAGCATTTGGGTTTTTAATTTAAAATCACAGTTGTGGTGTTTTGGTGACCTTTTCCCCCCTTTAATACTGGTGTTTTTCACAACATAACAGGTGTTAGCTTTCCTCCTCCTTATGCATTTGGGTCTGTCAGTTACAGAATTTTTCTGAGTGTATATGAAATATGTATGTGTATATATAAAGGAAAATGGATAATAAGCATAAACTCTTTTATGTATGTTAGCCTTTTAATTGAAAATAGAGTTGAAATGAAGAGTGACTCCGTATTCTAACAAGAGACAAGGAAGTGGATTTTTCAAACTTTTTTTTTTTTTAAACTGTCATCAAAGTAACATTTCCCAAAATGTGAACTTCTGTGTACTTGGTCAAAACTAAATGGAGTTACTTTAGTAAAAAAGACACGTTGTACACATTGTGACATTCTGAAGTTGAGAAATTTTGTGTTCTTTTTAAAACAGCTGCTCATAATGAAACAGTTAAAAGTGAAAGTGTTTCTGGAATTATTTCTGAGATTTTCTGTTCTCTAAATCTACTGAATCAGAGCTTCCACCTTATTATGATAAATAACTTACGTCAGAAATGATGTCTTCCTAGATGAAGGCTATGGAAAAATAGCTTCATCTAAGCAAAAGATTTTCTTAATCTGCCAGATTTTTTTTCCAGTTGCATTGCTCTCTAGTTTCTCTTTCTCTTCTTTATTTGGGTCTTCAAGTAGAATAAGAGACTATAGAGCTGTGAAGTGTGGGGGGAAAAAGTGTATACCAGAAGCTTAGAATGGTGGTGTGGAAAAAGCATTTTTGAAACAGCAACTCTTCTGTACAAGGCTGAATATTCAATTACACTACATATACTGCCTAAAGGTTTCATTGCCACAGTGAGCTGTGGCTATAAAACTTATAGGTGTTTTAAAAATTATTAAAAAAAAACCAGAAAAAAAAAGTATCTATGACTATTAAATGTGTGTGAATGAACGTGTAGGAAGTCCATGAGTCACTTAAGAGAACTATGCAAAGGCTTCACAAGCTTTTACTTGTTTTGTTTTTGCTTCTGTTCCCCGATACGTATTTCTCACTAGTGTTAGGAACCCCATATGATGCTTAGTTTGGTCCAGGATGGATTCTTGTAAAATATCTTGCTGTTTTGAAAGACCTCAGTATCACACCAGAGACTTCAAAGTTCTTGAAAGACCTGTGAATTTATTTTAATTTATTTATTGCTATTTTTGACCAACCTGAAAACCGTATTGTTTACTGTAAAATACAGGACCTGGTTCAGTCTTTCAGTGAAGGCAGTGGGTACACAGGGATCTTGTTTTGCTACCTGAGCTCATTGCTCATTCTCAGCCCCACTACAAATAGCCTGAGTCAATGAAGCAGCTGCAGTTGTGCTGTGCAGGGCTGAAGGGCTCTTGCTATTTTAGGCTTGCACAGATGGTCCCAGTCCTAATGCACTGTGACTCCTGCTCTGGGGTGCTCTGGGACGGTGACCAGGCTCTGTAGCAGTTGTACTGGCTGTGGTCCTGCTCAAGTTGCTGGAGATAACTCTTGTGTTGGGGTGGTGGTTAGATTTTCTCCAGTGTGGCTCAGCAGAATGCATGCATATGCTCCCTACCCATTAGTGGGATGCTTTCATACCCTGAATCTATTGCTTTTATTTCTCCACAGAGTTTTGTGGGCAGTCATTGATGGTAACTGCCACACCAGGGGGCAAACTGCTGCCTGGGTCCCGTATCTGGGCTAGTGGACATCCTTGTTTATTTTGGAGAGGGTTAGGAGTCCTTTCCCTGACTGAAGCTCTAACTAGTCCCCGTGTGTTTGAACAAGGGTAATATTCCAGTTGAAAAGCATAATGATTGAAAGAGCTAGCTTTCATATCACAAGTTTTCCTTTACTACTACGTTAGTAATAATTTGATTATATAGACCATGAATAGCATTTATAGCTCTTAAAAGTTTGCCATGATCTTTTCAGTATATTTTGGGTGCCAGCTGACTTCTCCTAGACAGTTAGATTTTTATTAGTAGGCTACTGTAATACCTGCTGTTGCCCTGGAGCAGCTCACCTGGAGTGTCAAGAAACTTCTTCATATCATGCTGTGATGTACTAAAAAAACCTTTCTGTGTTATTATTTTCATTGAATATTTTGGAGCTTTGTGGGCTGTTCTGTTTTTAAAATTGATTAGGAAATTAATATTCAAAAGGCCTTCATAAAAAAAAATATTCTGTGTAATTTGTAGCGCTGTTAAAGAATTTGTTTTTCCTTTTTACCTCTAGATGAGCGTGACAAAGTACAGAAGAAGACATTCACAAAATGGATAAATCAGCATCTCATGAAGGTCAGTTGTTATTTCTGTCATGTCTGGATGACTGATTGCTACAGCAGTGATTCTGTCTTTCTACATGTTTGATTTCAGGATGCAGCTGTGTTACCTATAAGGAAGATCTTAAGTTGTGAGGTTTATACATATGCTTTGTCTTTGAGGAGTCTTGGGGGAGTTGAAATGCTGCCCAAGGTGATCTAATTGAGTACTTGAATTTGAAATTAAAATGAGTCAAAGTTGATTTCATTTTATAAGGCTTGGCTCATTACTGGAATTAGTGTGTCATGGCTGTAGTACCACAGCTAAGGCAAATGAAGAAAAAAAAATATTTGAAGTACCATGCTGAGGAGAGGGGAATGACCTTGAGAGATCTCTGGATCATCCTGTGGCATCAGTATACTGCTCATGGATTAGAAATAGAGGCTTTCAGGGGTAAAAGTCACATTTCAATATCTTTTTTTTTGAACAGCAGTGAACTTTGCTTCAGGGACAGAGCATATTATTTTAACATGTACAGATTTTAGTTGACAGAGAACTAAAAGCTGTGAGTTCACCTTCACTGCATGGCCCTTCAGTTCTAAATTTAATCTTCCGTTCCAGTGCCAGCTGTCTAGCCTAGACATTTCTCTGGAGAAACAGATTGTATAATTACTTGACATAACTTCCTTTGATATGCCCCCTCACTCCAAAGCTGAATTCATGTAAGAGTCACATTAAATAAAAATGTATCTGCAAACTGTCAGAGTTGAGATATAATTAACAAGTGCAATGTTCAAATACTGTTGGGAAGATCTCCTTATATTCATGTTTAGAGAAAAATAGGGTTTTTTTAGGGAACAACTTCATTATTTCTCTTTCTTGTGGCTGCTCTTGTGGGTATTTGAGAAATATTTGACACTGAAACAGAAGAAAATTTCTACAGGGTTACAGATGTTTACAACTATCTTTTTTGTTTCACATCTTTTAAAATTTTGAAATGTATGTAGCTCTTGGAAATGGTGTGATGTGGCAAACTGATCAGGCTTGGAAATGAATTTGGACTCAATCTTGTTTTTTGCAAGAGAACTCTCTTGCAGAGGAATCTTCTGGTCCTTCTCACCATGTCTGAGATCAGGAGTGGTCCTGCCATCAGCCTCTGTGCAGCATACAGCCTTTCTGTGGGCAGCGTGAGTCTGGAGTCACAGGACTGCTCATACCAATAGGTTTTCATTTGGGAATTTGTTAGACCCAAGGGAAACATGCTGTATCTAGAAACAGCTGCTCCAGGGATCCCTTCTATGCAGAAGCCTCCTCCTTGTATTCCTGAAACATCCAAGTGGCCCCATGTCCCTGCAGAAGTCTTTTACTTGCTCATGAGGAAAGACAAAAGGCAGTTCTGCAGCCTTCCTTTTCTGAAGTTTACCTCATATTTATAATATAAGAAATGTATCCATTGTAGAATATTTCAGAGAAATTAGATTTAAAGGAAAAAATAAAAGCACCAACATCCAGGAAGGTTGCCAATACTCTGGCAGTAAAATTCAATATCCAAATAAACCATCAGGCATTTCCTCATCTAATTGAGGGTAATTGTTGTCATGCTTATAGGGGCTACTCATGTTTTTGTGTATTAAAGAAGCATTTTAATGATGCAGCTTTAGTTTTCTGTGGGATATGAAAAAGCCTATCTGAAGCTTTTTGGACAGAAATCCTTTAATATGGGTTCAAAATAGTGCCTTATTTTACAGAAGAGCAGCATACTGAAAATTATATTTCTATACAGCTTTATTTTACACGTTTCCAAAACATGCAAAGTCATCGCTGCCATGCTGTCAGCCTCTTTGGAGTAGCTTAAAAAAGATTTAGACTCTAAACCCATAAGGAAATGAGGGTAAAGAGTTCACTCTAAATCCTTTTGCATTTCTTTCCAAGGTCAATGGCCTTAGGCCTTCATTTTCAAATAGTTCTGGGTTGGGTGATTGCAGAGGAATAGATACAGATAGATGAGACAGATGGGGTGTGTTGGCTGTGTGTATTCCTGGCCTTGGTTTTCATCTCAGATTGCTCACTTTAGAATTCAATTTAAGGGTTGCTAGTTCACAGAAACACAGTTTGACTACAGCTCTTCTATTAATTTGGAATTTATGTAGCAATGCATCCTTACCTTCTGGGAATAGTTTGAAAGCAGATAGTGATACAGTTGTCAGATTTCTGTTCCTAGACATTGTTTCTAGAACAGTGACTTGTGTGGACATTAAAATCAATCTTTCAAATATTCTCTTTCTTAAGACGTAAGGGCTTATTTAGAGAACACTATGTTGTGGAGGGAATGTAGAAAAAATAGCACAGTAAATGAGTGCATTTCTAGTAGAGGCAGTGGACCTCTCCTAGTCAAGGCATTAACTTGAACTTGAGCCTTCAGTTTCAGCTACCTCATATTTAATACAAATCATATGCAACTCGTATTTGCACATTCCCTGACAGTACCTTGTATTCAGACAAACGAAGATGGGAGTTGTCTCATTTCAGGCATTGCAGTAGGCTTATTGGAACTGGTTACCCAGACTTCTCTAGTAGATGGCTGAGGGAACAGGCCCTTTTAAGTGTCCCTCCAATAAGACATCTACCTAAGGGGAAAGATGAATTGTGTCCTAGAAATGCTTTTGCTCCACTGACTGTAGAAAGAAGCCAGTGTGCTTTGTCTGCAAGGTGAAACATGTCATGCACGTGGACGTGACCCCACGTGGGCATGGGGATGGATCACATTTTAATTTCATCATCTTTCCCTCCTGTTTGTGTTCTTTGCGTTCTTCTCCTGTTTCTTTTCCGTGTCCCCTGATTATTTTTTGCTTTTTTTTCCTCTTTTCTCATTTCTTTGTACATTTTCCTTTCTTGTTTACTGCTTTCCTTACTCATTCTAATTAAACTCCTATTCTCGTGCAGTCCTTGAGAAAGTCCTGAACTTTCATGCTTTTATACCATTATATCCAAGAGGTTTCATTCTAAGTCAGCAGCAATGATGCTTTGACGAGTTCCCATCTTTTGTTGTGGAATGGCATGGAAGCTTACAGCCACTCTTCTAATTAAGTTCTATATTTATGGGATTTACTGAGTAATCACAAACAACAAGATGACTGATAAATATTTACCCTTCTGCTGTCTGTTGCATTAGATTCAAAGTGTGTAAGTGCATAATATTTAAAATTCAGTGTTAGTCCCTTGTCAGTTTAGTTGAGTAGTAAAGCATATTGTGTGCTTTGCTAAAATAGAAACATAGTTATTGCAGAAATATTTCCTGCTCATGTTCTTAAGATGCCTAGTTTTAGACAGGTACATAAAGTGTTATTTGCAAAATTAAGCTGTATAAGTTATCTTTGAATTCCGCAGTTTAAGGTCAAGTGGCCTGTCACTAAATTTTTTTAATGCTGAATTTTTTCTTTTGATTTGGTAACAGATTTTCTGAGGACTGACTGGAACTTTAGACATGCTAAGGCTACCGTTTGCTGTCTGATGGTGTGGCTCCAGTTTAAATGTTATCTTTTATGTCTTGTTGACATACAGACTGGAGAAGTGAAATATTGGACTTTGGACTCGCCTGCTGCTGTGGTATGAGCTTCCAGGGAGAACTCACATGTCAGTATAGTGTGGTGGTGGGGTAGAGATCTCCTCTCTTCTATAAACCAGCCTCTGCTTCCAGCAAGTGCTTCACTCTGCTGCTGTAAAAATAAAGTGTTAAGTCTTGCTAGAGCAGTAAGTAACCCTTGATGTGACAAGATCAGGTAAATTTGTGGCTGCAAGTTTTATTCTAGTGTAGTGTTTTCGTGGTCCTAAAGCACCCTAGGAAAAATCCATGAAAGCCCAGAAATTCTTCCTGACATCCTTTGAAATTGAAACCCCAAAACTTAAGGAAATAGTGAACCAAGTGTAAAACAGAGGTGGATGATGAGATTTGTCAGAAAATAAAAAAAGCTGTTGATGAAAATGGCAGGTAAATAAAATTGTTTGTTGTTGATTTTCTTTTTTCAAATCAATTAAATATACTTTTGTTGTGCCAGGTCTTAGTCCTGAGAGATCAAATAGTTTGTTTTGAAATACTTTGTTTCTTTATTAGAAATCAATACTTACAGCAAATAGGACTAAAGGCAAGGCAAGCAGAGACTGGCTAGTGATACAGTGAACACCCAGGTATCTTCCCTTAAAGGGAAAATGTTTCTTCCTTTTCATGGAAGAAAATGTAGAGAGCCTCTTAACTGATCATCTAGCAACACTCTGGGCACTGGGGCAGCTCCCTGGGGATGGACAGCTGTCCTGTCCATGGCACTGACAGGGAGCCCAGCCACCTGCAGTGTGGGTTAGGTTTTGGGACCCTTGGCTGACCATACCTTGGGAGAAACAAGCTGCTGATGGGAGCAATGAACAGCATCCCTTCACAGACACTAGTTGCTCTAAAGGTCACTTGTAAAGTTGTTATTAGCAAGAAGGCTTTTGTAAGTAGGATGACAAAATGCTTTTGAAAACTATTTTTTTAAAGCCCTGTGTTCAAAATCATGTACTGTGTTGCAGTGGTAGTGCATTAGCAAGAGAGAAGGAGAAGAGCTTTTTGTTGTGCAAAGACTGAATGAATAATTCAGAATAGAAACCTGAAGTTATTGATTCCTGTGTGTCCTTCAGATAGCACACAGTTTGCAAATGGCCTCTTAGGTCGATTGCTTTGTGAAATGTGCAGGTATGACCTTAATGGCAGCAGGATTGACTATTCCTGATAGAGTGCAGTCATTCCTTGCTGAAAGATGGCACTTTACTGATGGCTATTGTTTTAGATAGCACTAGTCTAGTATCTTAATTTTTAGCCATGCAGTTAAAATGTCATTTAAAATTTCCCACCTCTGCTTTCAGAAATTAGTACTTTGTAGCTCTGCATTGGTATTTAAAGGATGAGGCACCTGGTGTTAGTCTAATGGTTGTAGCTTTTAAAAAAATTCTCAATTGAACAACTTTTGATTTTGAAACACACTTAGAAAAATCTGATTTTTTTT